GGGGGCTGGGGAGATGGCTCAGAGGTTAAGAGCACTGGCTGCTCTTCCAGAGGTACTGAGTTCAATTCCCAGCAACCACATGGTGGCTCACAACCATCTGTAATGAGATCTGGTGCCCTCTTCCTGACTGTAGGCATCCAAGCAGACAGAATACTGTATACATAATAAATAAATAAATCTTTTAAAAAAAAAAAGATGCCACGAGTGTCACCGTTGCTCCTCATATTTGAAACAAGTTTTGCCATCAGATTGCCCACCTCACTTAGTTTTATAAGAGGATCATACTTTAAACAATTGTTTTTATCTGCATGTATATGTGTGTAGGGAATGCATGTGGACACAGGCACGTGTGTGCATGTGACTATGGTGGCCAGAGGCCAGCCTCGGTGGTGTTAGTCAGGGGCCATCTCTCTTAACACAGGGCCTCTCCATAGGTAGCCTGTGTGCACTACGGTTGCAGGTGAACACCACTCACCTGCCGTGGTAATGAAGGTTCTGGGGACCCGTTTAGGTCCCTGTGCTTGTACAGCAAACTCTTTACCCACTGAGCGCACTCTCCAGTCCTCAAACAACACTTGGTGCCATTTAATTTCTCGAGCTACTCCTTACAAGTTTATGAAAAATACCCAGCAATGAAGATAGCATTTTCCTCCTCATCCACAGATACTTGGAATAATCTGATCGTCCTTCCTTTCCTGGGCTTAAAATTATCCTAACTTTACAGAACAAAAGTCTGCAAATTTTAAAAAAATATTTATTTATTTATTATGTATACAATATTCTGTCTGCATATATGCCTGCAGTCCAGAAGAGGGCACCAGACCTCATTACAGATGGTTGTGAGCCACCATGTGGTTGCTGGGAATTGAACTCAGGACCTTTGGAAGAGCAGGCAATGCTCTTAACTGCTGAGCAATCTCTCCAGCCCCCAAAAGCCTGCAAATTTGAGGAAAGATAATGTACCCCCATGTTGCCAGGGTGGTCCCTGAGTCCTGGATTAAGACCAACCCTTGCTCTCTCTGTTTCTCAGTGTTTTAGAAACTCAGTTCAAGCTTTCAAGTTTACAAGATTGTTAGGGAGAAACAAATGCGTACATGACGGTTGGTCAACCCACCTGATATCCCCTATCAAAGGGTGCTTAGCTTTCTGTGCCTCCAGTAGCTCCGTGAGGTAATTCCCTACTCGGACAGCATTTCCCTGAAGGTTTTCTTTCTCAATTACGTCCAGCACAGCCAACCCAACAGCACAAGACACTGGATTTCCTCCATACTAAAGACGAAGATGAGAAAACAGCAATGGAATTAGTGGTATTTCTTCATGAGAAATTTGGCATTCAACATATGTCTGAAAAACAAAACCTATTTTAATGCCTTCAGCAGTCCCCACAAAGGTATATATTATTAAAGATAAGAATGCTTATGTAAATGCCATATATATAAATTTTTAAAATATATTTTATTTTGTAATAGTAACCTATCAGACTTAGAAGACAGAATGATTTTGCTCATTGGAACGGAGTGAAAACTCACTCCTGGAAAATTCTCCAGGATATGTCTCTAGTGTGAGGGATTATAAGTGGTTTATTGGTTCATCCAATCAACAGAAAATATTAGATTGTGAATTAAAGATTCCGAAGTGTGGTTCAGTAATGGAAATCAGTGTTTGTGTCCTTAAAGAGCTGAGAGAAAACAGCTAAGCAATATTTTCTCTGAAAAACAAACCCTTTCTGTGCTTGAACCCTTGCTTTTGCTGCTGTGCACACGACAGCGACTCTTCCAACCTAAAGCATTTACTTGGGGGGATAAAGCCAAAGAGAGCTATCCAAGGGTCAACACCGAGTCTCCCTTATGAGAGTTGACAGATATTCACGGTACCAAATCATCTAAAGCTTTCAAAGTGTTTGAGGAATTTCAACACAACACAAAATAAGGAAGATCACATCATCTGTTAATGAAACAACCCCCAAAGATTAGCAGGAAATCTATCCTGACAAAATCTAACAAGAATGTTATCAGAAGAGGAAAAGCACAAGCAAACAGTTCAGAGGGAATCCAGGCTGGTGTGATTGAAGTTTGACAAGAGTATTAGCATGATATGCTGGTAATTTTTTTTTTAAGATTTATTTATTATGTACACAGTGTTCTGCCTGTATGTCTGCCTGCAGGCCAGAAGAGGGCACCAGATAGCGTTACAAATGGTTATAAGCCGCCATGTAGGTGCTGGGAATTGAACTCAGGACCTCTGGAAGAGAAGCCAGTTCTCTTACCTCTGAGCCATCTCTCCAGTCCAGAATGGTATGCTGGTTAATTGGAGCCCTTTTCTTTATTATCTAAGAATATGCATTAATTTCCCCTCTTAGAATTAAAGCTGCAAACCCAAACTTACTGTATTGAAATACTCCATGCCAGCGCTGCTGAAGGTTTCTGCAATTTCTTTGGTTGTCACCACACAGGCCACGGGGTGACCGTTGCCCATAGGCTTCCCCATGGTGACGATGTCTGGAATGAAGTCTTTGCCGTGCATTTGGAAGCTCCAGAAATGCCTCCCAGCTCTACCAAAGCCTACTTGAACTTCATCAGCGATAAACACGCCCCCTGCTCTGCGAACATGTCTGAAAAGCAAAGAGATATGCGGACGAGTGCCCCCAACACTACCCAAAAAAGACGATTGAAAGCAGAGAAGTATTAACCCAAAGCCTCCGTCCGAGGACTCAAAACCATGTAGCAACATTATAGGCTAATCGCAATTTCTAGATTAGATTTACCCCATATGGGATGTATGCTACTTAAAGTAAGCTGTATTGCAACATTCCACTTGGGGAGAGAGTTGGACAAGTGGCTCTATCCAGGGCTAATCTTCATGTCTACTAATTGACAAGGCATAGCTATGGGCCAATGAGACAGGATGCCCAGCAGGAGCTGCGGTATAGTTCTGCAGGCTGGACGATGTTAAACCCTGTATCCGCTGGATCTTGGTTAAGATCAGGGACATCCTAGAGTCCTAAGGAAGCAGGCAGACAGCAGCAGTTTTTTTTTTTTAAGATTTATTTATTTATTATGTATGCAACATTCTACCTCCATGTATGTCCACACGCCAGAGGGCGCCAGATCTCATTACAGATGGTTATGAGCCACCATGTGGTTGCTGGGAATTGAACTCAGAACCTCTGGAAGAGCAGCCGGTGTTCTTAACCACTGAGCCATCTCTCCAGCCCAGTTTTTTTTTTTTTATCAGCAAATCTGGAAGTATGACCTTGTATAGACTTGCCACAGTACCCTCAGTTTGACCAAGGATGCCCAAGTCAAGTACATACTCAGCCACTTTCTGGAAGTAGCCTGCTGGAGGAATAATTTGTCCACCGCAACTCTGCATGGATTCAGCAATAAAGGCGGCAATCTATACAAAAGAAGATGGGGTCACAATCTTTACAAGATACCTACCCCCTAAAAAGTTTCCTATACGACAGGTTTTTGTTTTTAAAGATTTATGTTTATCGATGTGTACGTGGGTGTTCTGCATGCCTGTTTTCTGTTTTATGTACATGCAGTACCCAAAGAGGCCAGAAGAGGGCACTGGATCCTTGGCAACTGAAGTTACAGAGCGTTCTTACTCTGCTCTGTAGGTGTTGGGACCCAAACCTGGGGCTTGAGAGAACATGCACTCTTAATGGCGAAGCCATCTCTACAGCCTCAAGAGCACACTATGGTAAATAAGATTTATCTTTAACTTTATGCACGTGTGTGTACATGTGTGCAGGTGTCGGAAGGCATGAAGCCTCTCCCCCTCCCCCTCGAGATGGAGCTGTGACTTTGGTGTTGGGAACCAAACCCGGGTCCTCTGCAAGAGCAATGTGTGTTTGTGTGTTCTTGACGGCTGAGCCATCTTTCCAGGCCTTTGAGTAGGTTTAAAATGGCTAGAAACAGACCTGTGGTGCGTGCTACACAGTCTACTAATTAAAAACAAAAGCTGCCTGTGGCGGCTGTGACCTAAATAAAGTCCTGCCCCCTGGGGAAATGGAAACCGCGCAAGGAGAGCTTCATTAAGGGTCAATCTCTTTTGTCAAGCTGTGCCTAGTAAAAGTACTGTTTTGATGTCTATGTCATGAATCTTTGCAAACTGATTGAGGATCAGAAGGTGCCTTGGTGCCCATTCCCTAGTTAGTAAAATAGGACTGTTTGAGGCTAGAGTCTGCACCAGGGGAGCGGGCACACAGCCTGGGGCTCCACACAGCGCTATGTCTGGATTTGAACCAGGCTTTCCTCAACAGTTAGGCCTCTCAACAGAAACTACAGGGGAAGCATGTCAGGAGGAGAAGTTCGAAGTGGCAATCACTGACGGAAGAAGGGAAAGCTCAAAAAGGCCCGAGGAAAGAAATGTAGAGAACCAAGTCTGCCCCTAGACTCCTACCAGCTGCCCGAACCAGGTTAAACGCTTTACTTCCGAGTTATTTGGTGTCGTAGCTCTAAAATGAGGCCGCCGGAGTCTAGAAATTTCTGCTCCAACCTTCCATGATCTCACGAGCACAGCCGACATTTAGAAGTGTATGCCCCATATTTATTTTTGCATAGCTTTAGAAGTGTATGCCCCATATTTATTTTTGCATAGCTTTAGAAGTGTATGCCCCATATTTATTTTTGCATAGCTTTCAGCATTGGTAACACAGTGCCATCAGGTCCCAAACTGTGTAGCACTGATATTGGTAAAAAAAACCAAACCAAAACAACAAGAATCACCTAGACACCCTCCATTAGAAGCAGAGTCCATATCATTTGTTGAGGTTAAAAAAAACTGAAAGCATCATTTACCATATGAAACTGCAGGGAGGAGACTCGGAAGCTTCTGTGGAAGGGAGAGCTTTAGGCTCATTTGCACGAAGATGTCATAAAGGACATAAAAGCAAGGCAGGGCTGATGGGTAGGAGAGCTACTCAGAAAAAAAGAATGGATCTCTTGTCATGAAGGCAAAAGAATTTTTTAATTCACTGGAAAAGGCGAATCCTTTTTATTTAATGAAGTATTCGTATCATCACGTCTGTCCCATAAACCAATTTAAAGGCCGCGTGTTGTCTAGTTGCATCTAATCTGCACCTCTGCAGCCCTGCAGTGGTGGAGACTAGAACGTGAATCTGCAGACAGTGGGGTGAAGACCGTAAGCATGAACTCCTTTCCTGCCCTCGACAACTCTGGTGCTGCCGAGCCTCAGTTCTGTGGTTCCAGGAGCCCCCGAGCTCCAACAGCACCATCGCTCCCTTGAGGATCTGAGAGCTGGGACTGCCCTCGACACCGAAGCCCCTCTGCTGCTTTGCTTCCCCACGACCCTCACAGTTGGGAGAGCCTGGCTCTAGGAACCAGACCCTGTGCAGTGAAGGATCAGAATTAGCCAGTAGCACTGGAGAAGAGAATGGTTTCATATCTGAGATAGATAACATTTTACTATGACAGTATAACAAACCAAGAGAAAATGTAACCAGCAAAGAACAGAATGGAATTTTCGATTTAATCCTTTTTCTTCTCTGTAGAGAAGTCTATTTCCGTAAAAGACGTTAAAAGTGTCTCCCATAGTGCCCACCTTCCTTCCTCTGCTCTGAGCATCTTCAATGATTTTCTCCACTTCGTCTGCATAGGCTGTGGCTGCGTCTTCGTGGTCCTCTCTGTATTTCCCTCTGTAAGTATCTGGAGTTGGTGCCTAGAGCATCAGATGATACAGTTTCTCATAATTTGCCTCTTTCCCAAACTTGAAAACCAAGAGGGCATCTATTCGCCCCCCCCCAGGGCATGTTGGAGCGTGGTTGTGTGTTGACCCAAGAACCCCGCCCCCCCCCCAGTGCCTTTTATCTCTGTACATTTTTGAAGGCTCTGAAGAGCTGACATCTTTCAATTGTGAGCTGGACCCAGACCCTCTAAATCAAAAATTTATCCCTATTCACATAGAAAGCAAATATAGATTGGCAGATGCAGTTATATTATATAAAAATAATAAGAGGTGGAGACTGTACTAATGAGTATTTGTAAAACAAACTCAGGCTGTCAATTATATCACAAACTACAATTACTTAGGAAACTTGGGTACCTTAGTGCTTATTCTTAAAGCCTTGAAATAAAGCAGTGAGGTCTCTAAGGGTCCACTGACCCACAACTAACACAACCATATGAAGTGAATTTCACTGTTTCAACAACTTGTCTGGCTTTTTCCATTTGATGTAATATACCTTTAAAACAATTCACATTATTTACATAATTATGATTTATATAAAATTTTAAATTTTATTAGTTTTTAAAACGTTTTGGTCATTCCTTGTGGATTTAATTTATTTATTTATTTTTTTGGTTTTTTGAGACAGGGTTTCTCTGTAGCTTTGGAGCCTGTCCTGGAACTCCCTTTGTAGACCAGGCTGGCCTCGAACTCACAGAGATNGGTTTTTTGAGACAGGGTTTCTCTGTAGCTTTGGAGCCTGTCCTGGAACTCCCTTTGTAGACCAGGCTGGCCTCGAACTCACAGAGATCCACCTGCCTCTGTCTCCCCAGTGCTGGGATTAAAGGCGTGCGCCACCACCGCCTGGCTTCCTTGTGGATTTTATATCATGCAATTCTAATCCAACTCATCTCCCCATTTTTTCATATCTACCCTCTGCCCTTGCAACCTCTCCCCCCAATAAAATAAACTTTAAAAGAAAAACAAAAGAGCAAACAGAACAAAACAAAACGTCTTGGCATGTGTGCCACGCCAAGCTGTAGCATGACACAGAAGTCACGCAGTATACCCTGTAGTCCATAAACTTCTAAGTATTCATTGCAATGAGCCATTGGTCTGGCTTGAGGCCTCAGCTTCCTGCTTTATGTAAATTATTTTTATGATCGTCATAGAAACTCTCTTAGCTCTGGGTGTTGATCTAGTACTAGTATAATTGGAAGAGTAACTGAAGACCAGGGGGCACAAGAATAAAACAATAGCTGCTGAAAATCTCATCTGCCACTCAACTCTCCGACCACGATTCTCAGTGTGAGCCACATGCTGTGCCAGTACGTGGCCCTCTGAGGTCAGCATGTTATATGACCGCTCTGATTCTTAGTTTCTCTCCCATGGTTCCACTCTGCTCCGAGGGTTGGGCTGGATGGCAATAGGCATTCTAGCCCCAGCATTCTGATGATAGGACGTGGGGATACTTACCACATGTACAAATTCCTTCTTGACATCTTTGCCCTTCTGAAACTTATAGGGACTGATCTCAATTAATGATGTCAGGTGACCATGGTAAGCACTGAAATGTTAAAGAAAAGCAATGGAAATTGTTCCAAGAAAGGTGTTTTTCCATATGAAAGCCAATATTGTATACCACTCTGTATTCGTCGTCTGGGGAGAATTTCCTTGCTGGTGCCACATATTAACTGTATGACTGGATCTAGCCCTTCCTGTCAGTACCGGCCATTTGATATGTCCATTTTCTCTTATACATACAATGAAGTACACGAGAAATCTAATGTGTCCTCATAGGCAATGGTTTTTTATTACAGTAGGAAAATAAACATTTTTGAATTATATTGCTAAATTAGATTCTTTAAATTTGAATGTTTTCATATCTTCATGTAATCAATCCTGTGATTTGAGTTTTCTAGATTCTGGTTTTTTTTTTTTGTTTCATTTTGTTTCCTTCCTTTCTTCTTTCCTTTCTCCCCCTCCCCTCCTTTCTTTCTTTTTTTGAGACAGTGTTTCTCTGTGAAACAGTCCTAGCTATCCTGGAACTCTTTGTAGACCAGGCTGGCCTCAAAACTCACAGAGATCCTCGTGCCTCTGCCCTCCAAGTGTTTCTCCTCAGATACAGGTAGGCATCCCATGGATATCATCCAGCCATGGTTTATCAAGCTGCAGTGAAAGCAGACATCCCCTCCTCCACTAAGACTGGATGAGGCAATCCAGCAGGAAGAGTGGTCCCCAAACCTGGCCAGAGTCAGAGACATTCCCTGCTCTCATTGCCATGGCTTTCCATTGGGATGCTGTTTAGTGGATGATCGGTTGGAGACACTAGGCTAACACTAGTTTTCTGGAACAAAAACTTGGACTGAGTAGAGAGAAATACTTTTCTCTCCCTTAAAGCACAAATGGTGATGATATTCCTTTTTCTATTTCTCGCCCAGAAATATAATCAGCAGATGTGGAGAGAAAGGTCTAAAAACCCACCCACAGATAATTCCAAATAGAGATCCTCTGACCTAGGCTGTATAGGAAACTGCAAAGCGGCAGCAACAGGAGGAGACTCCTGACTGGAAAAATTATAAAGAATACGAAAAGGCAACCCCAAGGATGATAAAATCATGAGATTTTTGAGGAGATTCTCAAATCAACAGTGCCAGTTACGATATGTTACACCCATTGGATTAGCAACAGTTGGGGAAAAACAGAAAGCTGGGTAGTATTTGGTTTGGTTAGACTTTAGAGAGGAGACCTTTCTTGTGCTGTGTCTGGAGTTGTAACCACGCTGGAGACAAATATTGAAACCTTTAACACAGCACCTTTGTATACCTTGCTGCCCTGCCATCTTGTTTCTGAAATTTATCCCTAGGGAATTCTCAGAATGCCCTGTGGAGGACCGTGTAGAAGGATTTCTGCTGGTGCTGGGAGCAGATGCAGTCAGTGCCTGTCACTGGGGGTGCTGCCCAGTGAGAACAGCACTGTTATAATACCGTAAGGCAGCAACTCCCCGCGTGGAGCTGTGGGCACTGGCAGCATCTCTAGTCTGACCTGAGATGTGCTGTGGTGTAAACAGACACAGTGGACTTTCGATACTCAGTGAGAACAAAAGGAACGGAAGATATGTCAATGTAGTTTAGGCTGATTACATCTTAAAATGACAGCATGTTGGCTACCCCAAACGGCTGGAAGGTTTAAAATCCCATACATGGCTCATATTATGTTTCTATTGTCAGAAGTGAGTCGGAGGAATGCAATGCCTCTCAGGAATTCTGTGTGGGATGAAACACGAAAAGAGAGATGGACACTGACTTTGGTAAAGCAGATAGATGCACGTAAGATAACATGTTTTACATGATGTAAAAAAATGAAAGGACGTGGAAGTACATGCAGAGCTCGTTGGGAAGATCCGTGGAAGGGGGAGGGAGACAGGAGGGTAATGGCGGAGAACATGATTGGAAAACACTCGCACATATATGAAAATGTCATAGCAAAATCCATTATTATGTAGAGTTAACATGTACTAGTAAAACATTTCAAATAGCATAAAATAGATGCTAAATATATTATTATGGTCTTCCATAGGTCCGCAAGTATATAAGTAAGTAAATAAATATATGGTGAATACATTATTATATTTGTCCATAGGTGATGGATGAGAATTGTATAAAAGAAACACCCCACCCCAAGTATGTTCACCTCCTATACCCAGAACCTAAGAATATGTTTCATAGCAGAGGTGATTTTTTTAGGTGTATTGAGGACCACTCAAGGAGAGCATTATTCTGGATCATCTGGGAGGCTCCTACACAGTAACAAATGTCCTATGAGAGAAAGTGGAGGCAGGAGCATGATGGAGAAGCGGGGAATCGAAGCAGAGGCTGAGTCAGGTGATAGCCGACCTTGCTTGAAGGTGAAGGCCCGGACTGCAAGCCATGAGACACAGACACAAGACGTGGGAGAGCCAAGAGTCCCCACAGATAACCCTGCTTTTAGCTCAGGGAGTCATTTTAGCTTTCTGACTTACAGAAACAGTACAGATCACTGTTCTTTGTATTATTTGGACCCAAAAGTTTGTAGCAACAAATGAAGAAGCGACAGAAAATGAATAATCCCATTAAGAGGAGTCTACATGAGGTCCGTATTTAATTCCACTCTGTAGATTTTTGGGCATAATGTGAACCCATATGTGGCGGCGTGGAGGGATATAAGGGCAGACAAAATAATTTTTAAGATGTTAGTAAACATGGGTGCAAAATATCTTGTTTAAAATTAGCAAATTCATGTTCGAGAGGTAATAAGATCATTCATAGCCGTGAGCAAATAAAAATACTAAAGTTTTAAGTTTGCTATAAATTGCTGTCTTTAACATTAAGTACAGCGGATAATCCCAATAGTGAAGTGAAGCAAATGTTTGGATTTTAAAGAAATTATTCTTATTTTTTTAAAAAAAAAGAATTTTGGAAATGATTGAGTTATGCCGAGGCAGCCGCAGGTGCAATTGTGTAAAATGTCAGCCTGGTTTCACATCAAGCCCGTAAACCTGCAGGCTTCACGATACGCTGGAAAGTCTCCTGCATTTTCAGGGGCTTAGACAGTAAATTAGCCTCTGGATTTAAGCTAAGTTCAGCACCTTACTGTGGAATTTCAAACCACCGTTCCATGACGGTTCCATGACTCCCTCCTCCATAAGTGCCTGTGTTTTAGTACAGATAGGTTCGGTTCGGTACAGGTGGGTACACTTCTGGCTCTGAAGGGGCGTCTCCCTTGGAAACCCTGTGCCTAAGACTTACTGGTCAAGAGTGATCACATCCTGGTGGCCTCGGAACTGCCGTGCCAGGCGCAAGGCTAAGTCATTGGCTTCGGATCTATTGAGATAAGACAGAAGGGACAGGTGACAATCTCTTTTTAAAATGACTCAGTGTTAGTTACAAATTTTTTTTTCCCGGATTTTCGAGACAGGGTTTCTCCGAAGTTTTTGGTGCCTGTCCTGGAACTAGCTCTTGTAGACCAGGCTGGCCTCGAACTCACAGAGATCCGCCTGCCTCTGCCTCCCGAGGGCGGGGATTAAAGGCGCCACCACCGCCCGGCATTAGTTACAAAAAATTGTAAGACGACCTTTACCCAGAAAAGCATAATGCAGAACTGAGGTTTCTTTCCCGCTCCTTCTTGGTCACCCTAAGTTCTCTACATCATTTTTCTTTTTCTTTCTTTCTTTCTTTCTTTCTTTCTTTCTTTCTTTCTTTCTTTCTTTCTTTCTTTCTTTCTTTCTCTCTCTCTCTCTCTCTCTCTCTCTCTCTCTCTCTCTCTCTCTCTCTCTCTCCCTCCCTCCCTCCCTCCCTCCCTCCCTCCCTCCCTCCCTTCCTTCCTTCCTGTATTTTTTTCGAGACAGGCTTTCTCTGTAGCTTTGGAGCCTGTCCTGGAACTAGCTGTTGTAGACCAGGCTGGCCTTGAACTCACAGAGATCTGACTGCCTCTGCACCTGCTGGGATCTGCATTTATGTATTGAATGGACTATGTGAGCCCGTCATTTATATTGCACACTTTACTGAGTGACAAGATGATGTCACTGTATCCTCTTATGCTCGGAATCTTGAAATAAACGATACAGAAAGGACCGTGCCTAATCAAGGTCCCTTAGTGAGTGGCGGAATTTCCTTAAATTTTTTTATAGACATCTGTATCACACCACGCATCAAAAGGAAAAGGTACGCAGGTGCAAACGGGGCGTGAGGATGCCAGAAACCAGACACATACCCCGAATTTGTAAAGTAGCAAACAGAGAGCGTCTGCGGCAGGGTGGCTGTAAGGCGCTTGGCGTACTCCACGATGTTGTCGTGGAGGAAGCGAGAATTCGTGTTGAGTAGTTCCATCTGTTTCGCCGTGGCTTTGACCACTTCTGGGTGGCAGTGTCCCACTAAAATGTAGGACATAAAGGAACAGTCAACAGCCATAAGAGCTTGGGAGGAGAGGGGAATTTTGATGGAAAAAGAGAAAGGGGTTGGGTCCCTTTCTCCCCGGGTTTTAGGGAAGCTTTCCCCTTTTAGGGCGACTCAGCGGAGGGACAGCTGACTTGAAATTTCCCGAGATGAACCGGGCTCCACAGGCATTTCCTCCAACGCTCTGCTCTGTGCGTAGGTTGCTTACCGTGAGCCACGTTGTTGATGCAGTCCAAGTACCTTTGGCCTTTCTCGTCAAACATGTACTGCCCCTGGGCTCGCATTATTTTGATGGGATCCGCAGCAAAGAAAACTTTGCAAGAGGGCCTAGACAGAGGCAAAGGAAATACTTTGGTCCCGTCAGACAATGCAGTATTTTTCCTTCTCAATGGAGGTCAATCATCAGTTGAAAATTAAAACACATTTCAATTATAAGGGAAAGGGAAAACAGAGCCCACGTGACCGCATCGTTTTTTTTCATTCTACGTTAGTTTTGAATCTCTCCTCTTAATTCGCCGCTGGTGTCATTGCTCACATTTCTTTGTTAAAACATCCACAGTTTAACAGCTCTGTTTACAGGTGCACGAATCAGCTTACTTAAAACTCAGCTCTCTTTGGGACATTTTATTCTGCTGGAACAAAGTTGACCACCCTCACATAGGGTGATAACTATTCATTTCCTTATAATTTGGAGAAAGAGAGGAGGGGAAATAGGTGGTCTTACATGAGATAATATCTATTAACAGCAGTTTCTGACATTTCTTGAGAGCCAAGGTGGAAAGTACCTTTAAAAGGCACAGAAGCCCTCTGCAGCCTGCAGCGTTCAGTAAGACCCAAGGTTCTCTGTGTGCCTCTTAACTTGTAGATACAATCTAACTGTTGAGTTTGAATCCACAAGAATTCTTTCTCTCTCTCTCTCTCTCTCTCTCTCTCTCTCTCTCTCTCTCTCTCTCTCTAATTTTAGCTGATGCTGAGAAAAAAAAAAAAAAAAACTAGTCTACCGGAGGTGGTCTGTGAGTTCAAGGGCAGCCTGGTCTACAGAGTGAGTTCCAGAACAGCCAGGTCTACACAGAGAAACCCTATCACAGAAACAAAATAAAATAAAACAAAACCTATATAAACTAGGAGATGGGCTATAGCTCTCTCATGAACTGCTTCTCTAATAGACACAAGTGCTAAGATCTAATTCTTAATATTGTACAAAAACCTACAGCAACTTTTACCATAGCTGTAAGTCCTTTTAAAGTTTGAGGTTACTCACTATTCCTGATAATCAAAACACTTTTAAACAGCTGCACTTCACCTTAATAAATATTGCAAAGTCTCCACAAACCCCTAGGATATATGCAGAGGTTTTTTTTTTTTTTTTTTTTTTTGGTTTTTCGAGACAGGGTTTCTCTGTGGTTTTGGAGCCTGTCCTGGAACTAGCTCTTGTAGACCAGGCCAGTCTCGAACTCACAGAGATCCGCCTGCCTCTGCCTCCCAAGTGATGGGATTAAAGACGTTTGCCACCACCGCCAGGCTGCAGGTTCTTTTACATATGCAAAAGCACCAAAATAAAAAACATAGTTTTAGGCTTAAATGTCCATTGGGCCAAGATCAGAAACCTCAGTAGCATTGTGCTTGGCCATATATTATGCCATAAATGTTCATTGAAATAACCAAGAATTATGGGGGCTTATTTTGCTCACAAAAGCATCCCAGAACAAACTAAGTTAAGTATTTAAGATGGGAAAGTCATTTATTTGATACAGGACAAGTGCCACTCAAAATACATGAAAATTCTCTTTGTAGTATTTAGCTCTAAGTTACTTATAGTTAGTTATAAAGTTCCTTATAATTTGGAGAGAGAGGAGGGGGAAACAGGTGTAGGTATTATATAAGATAATATTAAAATATTTATCTGTTTCTGACATATCAGGTGTTTTTGTTGTTTTGTCTGAGACAGGGTTTCTCTGTATAGTCCTGGCTGTCCTGGAACTTAGAGATCCGCTTGCCTCTGCCTCCCTACTGCATGCGCCACCACCAGGAGACTAGTTTATATGATTTTTCAGCATCAGCTAATATTAAAAGAGAGAGAGAGAGAGAGAGAGAGAGAGAGAGAGAGAGAGAGAGCGAGCGAATGAATTCTTGTGGACTCAAAGTCAATGGTTAGATTGTATCTACAAATTATGAGGCACACAGAGAACCTTGGGTCTTACTGAGAGCTGAGCTGCAGGCTGCAGAGGGCTCTGTGCCTTTTAAAGGTACTTTCCACCTTGGCTCTCAGGTTGTAAAATTCTCCCTCACCCCATCTCCAACACTACTCTTCTCCTTCCACAAACTTTGCTGTTTTCCCTCAGAAATTATGTTTCCAAATGAATCTAGTTTAAAAGGTGTCAATCAGCGAGTGGGGGGAGGAACTTGGGCCACTGTGAAGAGAGGTCTTCGCCTCCTCTACCTTTTAGAACCCTCCTGATGGAAGCCAGGAGCTTTTGTACCAGAACCTGCTCAGCATTTCTGCCCGGAACACATTGCTTCTTTCCCTTATCACTTGGTCTGCGCATTGACGACTGCACCAGGTACGTGTGCACTATGGATAGCTGCTTCCACAGTGTTAGGGCACAGTCCGTATTGTCCTTTAAAAATCCATACACAAGATAGTATCTCACTCGTTCTCCTTTGCTCCTGGAATGTTAATAATAAGACTTGACAGGGATGAATGAGCACGATACCTAGCTGGGACCAGAGTTCAGGCCAGTCTTTTATACGCAGTTCTATTATGAACACATAACACGGACAAAACAAACGCCAGGAGAACACAGCATTTAAAAATCGACGTGAGGACCCAGCTTAAGAAGAAGCTATAACTGTGCCCGCGAAGTCTCCGCGTTTTATATAGGGGATTTAAGTTTTCTGCTAGCTGCTGAAACGCTTTATTGCCTCACCAAACACGGAAAAAGTTCACTTTAAATAGAGGTTGTCAGAATGTGTTTGTTTTCGGAGCCATCACTCAAATGATTTCTGAGTTCAGCTGTAGAGTTGATGAGCGTGGAGGCATGTTCTCCCCAGCCCGCTCACTGCGCTCTTTTCCCAAGGCTGGATACCGCGGATACCCGCTTTCAGGAGAGTGTGAGTTGGAGGAGCCAGCACCTCCAGCCACCTGCTGCCCGCCTCTGGGAGCCAGAGAAAGCTCAGGTTGGGGCTTCTAGGAGTACCTCCTGGGCAGGCAGAACTCTCCTTCCAGAGCCCGGGGGGGTGTGACCCTCAGTCTCTCCCACCCAACTCCAACCGTTTGCCCTCTGCCCCTTCCTGCCCGCTAGTCTCTCCCACCCAACTCCAACCGTTTGCCCTCTGCCCCTTCCTGCCCGCTAAGGCTCCTTACCCGATGTGCTTGCCCCGCAGCGCCAGGGTGTCCGGTTTGCTATACAACTCGCACATGGTCGTGCCCTTCCAGTGTGCCTGCCTCTGGAGGAGCCTGGGACACAGGATATATTTTCCTCCTGAGGTCTTCTGCCCTGGGCGTTGGAGGTCACTGGTAGCATTAACCACCTAGGGTCATTCCCCTTTTAAGTGTTGCCTGCCTTTGCCCTTCGCCAAGTCCCTCCCTCCCTCGCGCTCCCCTCCTCCACCTGGTGCCTGCTTGGCAAGTCAGCAGCCCAGCAGCCAGCCACCTCTGTACCTCCCAGTCGGACTGGCTCCAGTCCCCTCTCTGCAGATGTCCCCTGCCCCTCCCCACCTTGTAATTCCATTTACCTCACCTTTTGTTTTCCTAACTTTGCCTGCTTCTGCTTTTCTTCCTCCTCTGCCTGTAATTTCCTGCTTTCCCACTTTCTGCCTTCTTTTTAGTGCACTTGTATATTATCTTGTGAATCAAGCCTGCCATTTACTGTACATAACAGCAGACAGCTCGTACACTCCCTCGTCACAAGACTGGGACTCAGCCCCGTCTCCGAGGGGGAGTGGTAGATCGGGCATTCCGAACGTCTACTCTTTTGTGTTGTTGTTGTTGTTTGTTTGCTTTTGTTTTTCCTAGACAGGGTTTATCTGTGAACTGGAATTAGCTCTGTTGACTAGGCTGGCCTTGAACTCACAGAGCTCCGCCACATTGCTGGGGGGGGGGATTAAAGGGGCCACCACCCAACTCCAAACTTCGACTCTTAATAGTTGCAGATAGATGCAGACCTTCAATCTCCAAAGTCAGACTATTTCTTATCCCACATTCCCTCTGTTCCCAGTAGTGAACTTGGTACTTATTCCTGCACCCCTCCCCCCAGCCCCCAGGATGGCTTCTCGTACTGATGAAATTTGAAGTTAAATTGAACTTAAAAAAGATTGATTGAACCTTAATTAAAAATAGCCACTGGGTCATAAATGACTTTTAGAACCAGAGGTTACCTTGTAGGTTCTGTTGATAAGAACCAAGCGGCCTTAGGGAAGGAGCCAGCGGTTCAAGTTTCCACAGCTGCTTAGCCTGAAGCCAGGCTGTAGAGTTCCAGTTAATTCTGTGCTTTGGGAGGCCTGCAGAGAAAGCCTAATTTGTTTTAATGCGTCTAATAGTCATTTGGGTAAAGATATTAATTTATACTGAAGTACATCTAGGACAATTTATTTTTCTAAGCTAGGTGGAGGAAAGGAGCAAAGGGCGTCAGGGTATTTGGGTAAAATCTCATGTACAATCCTGCTGTAATGTTGAAAGATGTTGCCTACTGAAGGTCATAACAGTAGAAGTCATGAGTGGCCACGCCCTGTCTATCAACCCCACGTTCCTTGATAGTCTCCATACTGAAAATCGCGGTCTTTACACATACTCTCAAGAGTTTTGGGTTCCAAGTCCGGCTCATTCATGAGCTGGCTGGGCTTCTTCATATTTGGGGGATCGTATTTCTTAGTATAAAAAATGATCTCTCGGCTTTAAAGTAATGCAAATAAGTCTTAAATGAAGTCAAGACTTGGTGTCTCGGAAGGAGAGTCCCAAGCCCCTTCCTTTTTGGTTACTTTGCATTCTTTCCCAGTGATCTGATGATTCTTTTGGCTTTTGATGTCAGCCATGTGCCAAGTTTGCATCTCCCTGCCTACCCTCCCTGCCCGCCCGCTCTGTGCCTTTCTTCTCAGTCCCAGGCTCACCCACTTCCTTTTCTGGCATCTTCAAGTCTCCTAGACTATCCGTCTCAGCTAGCTCAAAATGAAAGCTTTGTTCTACCTTACTGGGGGCTATTTTGAAGTCCTAAACTATTGCTTTAGAAAATCTTGCTTTACTAGGCCTTTAATCGCTCACTTACTATCTAGCAAGTGCTCACCCTCTTCCAGGAAAGATGTCCTGAGACAGTTAACCAGACAGAGTAGCCCTACCCACCAGAGTTCACTACTCTCAACCCCTCCCTCCCCGCCCCGCAGAGGCTCTCTCACTCCCAGGGATTCAATAGCTCTGGCTCTGCTCTGTCCGGTAGACAGGCAGTAGACACAGGTGGTTACAGATTGACACGTGGGGCAGTCTAAGCTGAGACCTGCTGCTGTAGGCACAGGTGGTTACAGACTGACCGGTGGAGCAGTCTGAGCCGTGGCCTGCTGTGCCAGCATACAGCTCACACTTATGTTCACCTCTTTCTTTTCCCCCCTTTTAATATGTCCACGAACACATTTCAGTTATGAATATAAACTTGGCTTGTCTTTCTGTTAATCAACACTACTCTTGAAGGACAGAGTGGTGAATAAATAATAATTATTTAACACGTCATAGCTTAAATGGCCTCAATTAATGACAAATGATCCCAAAGAAATAGACCAAGAAAGTGTGAAGAGTACTAGAAAATTCTGTGCCTTCATCGCATTCCTATATCAAATCACTTCCAAGCCCCATCAACTGCATTCCAAAACCCTCTGCCCATGGCCACCTGCCGAAAATGCATCTGCATTTCTGTAATTTCTTTCCATGATTCCCTTCCTCCTCTGCATGGTGGTGGTGATGTCCCCTTCCTTACACCCCCAGCGACTGCCAGTTTGCTTCCCCAGGCTCCTCTTGGGCCGTTCCACACGGGTTTTAATGACCCTTGGTCAGCTGAGGACTTTGCCTTGGCTTCAGATTTCTGTTTAAGTGTCACAGACAGCCTGAGATAGGTTATTCTTGATGACCAAAGCCAGTTCTCAACTAATTAAAAAACAAAACCAAGGGTTCCCTCTCCCCTTTCCCTGCCATGGCCCAGGCTCTTCCCTCTTGATGGGTGTTGTTTTCCATTGTATCCCACTAGCACAATGCTTCCAACACAGTAGACTTGGTAAATCTGTATTCACTGACTGACTGAATACACATTTTAATCCTTATAAAATAAAAGCAGTTATGAGCCTCTACTCGTTGGTCATTTCTCGAGACTTAGATTCATTATCTTTTATGAAGGGATACTTCATAAAAATTGCTTTAACAGACCATCACTGTTTAACTTATTTCACAATGTGGAATATATAATATTAACTAAGTACAAAGGCCAGTCTTAAATCAAGAGCCAGCACAGAATGCACCCAAATCAAGGTGGATGAAAAGAGAGAAGACATCCAGCCTCTAACAAAGCTCTACCAAAAAGAGATTTCGTTTTTGGGGCACATTTTCCACTGTGTTTGCCAGGCATGCGTGTGGTGGGGCTCTTTCCCTCTCCAGGTTGATGTTAACCTTACTTGGGTCCTGACTGTGTTGGTTGACTGTCTGTATTTTTGAGTGAATCCTGACCCGAAGGCCACAGATTTCTCAATAGCCTAGGCTTGGCTAAATCAATTGTACTTGTGTTTGACTGAAAGGAGGGCTAGTCCGCCAAGCAGGAGACAATCAAAATGCCATTCAGCAGTCCGAGTGGCGGGTTTAAATTTTCTTCTTGGTAAAAATATGCTAAGGTGGGTGAACCATTTGTGTGGAACAGCAGATTCTCTGGCATGTGACATGGGCCTCGCAGTGGAATTTTGTGGGCATCCAGTAGTTCCTTGCCATCTCCCTTGACCTGCCTGGCCCTAACCTCCCTCCCTTGCACAAGGATATGCCCTTTTGAAAACTGCTCATCTTCAACAAGTGCTGGGCGTGGTGGTTTCCTGGCGTGGCACACTTCCAGAGGGTCTTATTGCTCTGGGTAGCACATTGCAATTGTGGGTTGTCTATCCAAGGTCTACCTGCCATGAACATGGAGGTTACCTTGTGACTATATTGCATACATATGCCTGGTTCAGATCAGGAGGTGCTTGACAGATCAAAACTGTGTGTCCTACCCCTGGGAGCTCTGTAAAGAGGACATTCAACCATAAATTGCATATATATATATATATATATATATTCCTTTCAGTACTGGTTACTTCTTTTGGTTCTGTGATCAAAATACATGAAAGAAGCAATGGGGGCAGGTTTATTTCAGTTCAGGATTTCAGTCCATCGTGGTGAGGAAGCCTGACAGAGTTCATGGCGGATGGACTGTGTGGGAGAGGGCCTCCTGTTCTGGCAGACAGAATCGGGGTTTAGGATATAACTTTCAAAGGCTTGACCCTAGTGAGCCGTTTCTGCCAGTTATCCCTGAGATTCTAATGGCTCCACAGCCCTCAAAGTAGCAGCATTGTCTGGGGACCAAGTATTCTAAACCGTGGTCTGTGTTGGGTTCAAGCTAGATTCACAACATAACACTTTTTTTTCTTACTCCCTAAACTGCAGGAGCCTTCCAGACTCATGTGTAGGTGGTGCAGTTTGAGAGTCTGTAGGAAGGGTTATATTTTAAATACCACAAGTGTATCACGGTTTCTGATGGCGCAAGTTGCCTGCCTAGAAGCCACATACAAACTCCAGAAACAGATCGCTGGAGCCTCTGCTTTTCTCCAGATGAGTCCGGGATCTGGAGGATAGCGACTACTTCTAGTACCAAAGGGGTCTAGGATAAAGCACCGCAGTGAACGTCGATTTGAGCTGAAGGCGTTTGAGAGTCGACAGAGGCCAGGACTTCCCTCACTGTCTAAAAGCAGAGCCTCCAAAAGGAACCCTGTCACCACACACTTCTCTAGGAGCTTAGACTAGAGAAGACTGACTCTTGTCCCTGTTCCTGAGAAGACGGCACCAGGACCAGAGCTCTCAGGAGAGGCACTGTCACAGGCCACCCGCTGTCCCTCCTGTCCTAAGGACCTATCTTGCTCTCTCTGGTCATCACCCAATTCTTTTCTCTTTTTGTCTTCCATTTCCTTTCTGCAGCGTACATATACGAATGCAATTTCTCTCTCCTCTTTGTCAGTTTGATTCAAAGGCTCAAAGCACTAAATCTAAATGGGCAGAAGGAAAAGTTTTCATCTGTGACAGACAGCATCAACTTCTTAGAGCAAAGGGCTTGTAACCAGGACCTGTTTTTATATAGCCTATGAGTTAAGAATTATTTTTACTTTCTTAGACGGTTAAAGAAATGAAATCCTATAAAATTCAGTTGAAGTTTCATTGGAAGATAACCATGCTTAATGGCTTGTGTAGTGTCTCTGCTCGCACTGTCTCAAGCGGCATAGCTGGGTCTTGTAGCTAAGCAGAGAATCTAAGCCAGCCCACATCTGCTCTA